ACTGGGAAAATTTTGATCATATTCAAGCCTGAAGGAAACCCACATTCAAGTCTGTGGTGACACCAATACCATACCACAGATCTAGCAGCAAGCAGGCTCCTCAATTTCTCATCTTTTATGAGGGAATTACTAGATCTAATTACTCTTAAAACCTTGATTGCTCCATATAAAACCAACTTACTTGGGGAGTTGACAGAAGCTCTGCGTCGTGTTTACTGAGTCTAGGGTGCAAAAGGACGAAGTAGATCTTCCAAAAGCAACCTTCACTCATATATCCTGGACAAAGTTCCATCCTAAGGGCAGCCAATCTAGGTGCAAGATTTTCAACAGCCAAAGCGTGTTCTTGTTGTGCATCAGACATGTCAAAATCTGAAATTTCATATCAAAGTGATGGCTCAAAAATCAGTTTAATTAACATACATAACTATCTATAAATCACAGATAAGCGTCAAGAGTATGGTGGTCCTAATAGAAAAACAAGCTAACACGGAGGCAAAAAATGACATCCAACTAAGCCAGAACTAAAAAGTGCAACAGTTTAAATGTTGATCTGCTAGAATGGTGAGAATAGTTCATTAAGTGGGAGATGAATTCAATTAGCAAAATAGCAAAATATCATGTTAAAGATTATTGGGATACCACTGCAAGGTAAGGTACTACCATTCATAATCAATTGCAAAATCATTGACAGCAATAAATAAGAAATCCCAAGCTACATAAAAGATGGCCTCATTCAAGACTAAGAGCTTGCTTTTTCCATTTTGTTTTTAAAATTTTTCTTCTATCCCATAAGCGGTTCTCTATTACTTGGTCTTCATCTTATAGGCAAGCTGATATGACAAATGCAGAAATCCTGAAAACATGCAAACATGCAAATCAATAACCATGTATGCACACACACTTAAAATACTTATAACAGAATTAATAAACCGCAATCTCCTAATTGGACTTGTACACGCCAAATTCAAGAAGAGATATAATCCAAATTCAGACACAGAACTAAGATGCTTAGAATGTATGCCCGTACATCAATTTTTAGATGGAAGCACGTTAATCAATGAAGGCAACTGAATGTAACTACATTAAAATTGCCAATGATAGACTAGCATGTACCGTCAAAATCAACATCGTCAGGCATAGGAAAGTCCAGCCAAGTCTCCGGATGCATCGCGATGTCCCTTGCGAACGCGACCACTTCCTCGGTCACTCCAACAACATCCCCAACCTCATACTTCTCCAAACTCTCCTCCTCGGATCCAAACTGTAGGAAATTCGATGCAATTTTACTAATCTCCGAGACCGCGATATTGTTCGAGAGCTTGGAGATCCCGGTCTTGAATCTCCCACCAATCTCGGCAAAATCGCTACGGATTCCTTCAATCACAGCCTCATCAGAGGCCTCTGGATCGGGTGACCGATCGAGTTCGGCTTGATTAGACGGCTCCGATGGAGGCGGCGCAAGGAAGGACGCCACTCCCCAGAACTGGCGGCTTAGGGTTTTGGTAATCTCCGAGAGGTCCTCTTTGACTCCGCGCGGAGTGTTGGGGTCCGTTGACGAAGGGGAATGGGAATGTGTCGGCGATGACTGGTGCGATTGCGAATCCACTGGCTGTTCTGGACCGACGGCATTGTTCTCGCCGTCCTCGTCGTCTAGTCTTAGAGAGTTCGCAATGGATCTGGCTAACCAAGACATTTCTCTTTCTTATTTCGCCTCGGTTCTGGATGTCGCATTTGTTTAGTTGCAGAGCTTGAGTACAACCAAGATAACCCTCAAGTGGAAGCGTATTAATCAGGAGATAGACTAGAACGATGTCGTTTTATAGTTTGACAATTTTTTCCCACAATTTTCAGTTGCCATTTTTGCTTTCATTTTGGATAATTTTGTGGCGTAATTTTGATAATTTGTCTTGGACCTAAGCTATCTAAAATAACGTTCTTCTAGATAAGAGCTAATTACTAACATGTATTGACCTTAATCACTGATCCATATTGTAAATCAATACCAAAAACAATATAAAACTATGCTAAAATTTTGCACGGCGCGCCTCAAACGTTAAAGTTTGAACTTTATGATTTTTGCCCTTTTTTCAGCTTCCACAATTAAAGTGGCCATCACAATAAAGATATGAACTTTCCACTGTGCCTATCACTTTATTGGCACCAAATTTTGATCTTTCAGGTGGCCATCAGAAGGTATTTTATTGCCAGTATTAATAATGTAAACGGACTTCTTTGCAAAAAAAAGAAGCAAATGGTATGCCTTTTTTTTTTAATAGCTAGCGTGTTTCTGAGTAAGTTTTCATATATATATATATTAAAATTAATCTTTTTTAAACAATGTTAAGGGTGTATTTTTATATAAATTTAATATATTTAAAAAAATTAATTTTTTTAATATTAATATTAATATTTAAACCATATGACTATTTTATAAAATAACATTTATTTACAAGTAGATTAAACCATTTAAAGTTTTAAGTTAAATTTACTACTTTTAAATGAACTGTGTGACAATAAAAAAAAAAATCCTCACAAAAACAGGCTTTCTCTGGCCTAGTAGGTGGGAACAGGCCCATTTACTTGTGGGCCACAAACACAGAGTTCGCCTGCAATTGAAGTCGTTTATCTTCCACTCTGCGCCAAAACCTCCCGAAACCCCCAAAAATGTTACTCCGGAATCGCCTAACGTGCCTATTATCGCTTCCCTCTCCGTCTCCGAAAGCAAAACCACCTCCGCGGCTCATTCTCCCTTTCAGAACCCCTCTTTCTTTCTCGACCCGCAATTACTCAAATTCGACTCGCAAACCGGATGTCTCTGCCTCAGCTTCCAGAGCTGTGAAAAAACCAATCTCCGATGCGGTGCGGTTCGTGCGCACCGTCTTGTTCGTGCCACCTGGGGTCGAGCCAGAGGAGGTGACAGATGACATGATCCTTCCCGGGTCGAACATTGTTATTGGACCTTACGCGGGGCACGCCCAGATTAAGGAGGTGGAGTTTGTGAAGAGTAGTTCTCGTGCCAAGGATTGTCCTAGAGATAACAAACCCGAGTTTGCAATTCTGGGTAGGTCTAATGTGGGCAAGTCTTCTCTGATTAACGCTTTGGTACGGAAGAAAGAAGTTGCTCTGACTTCCAAGAAGCCAGGTGCTTTTTTGTTTTTCAATTTCTACTCTTGATAGTAAGTTACATTATGGGTTGTTATCTTGAGTTTTGAAATGTTTTCAGGGAAAACTCAGCTAATAAATCATTTCTTGGTGAACAAAAGCTGGTATATGGTTGATTTGCCTGGTTATGGGTAAGCATAATGCCATTTTCCAAGAAAAAAAAAAATCTTTGCTTGTCATTGCTAATTAGCTATTGAGTGTTATGAAACTTACCTAAGCTAATTCTAGACTTTTGAAATGATTGTTAGCATGAAAAGTACACACTGACACATGCGAAAGTTCGGAAATTTTTTGTTTTTTGTGTTTTGCCTTTCCCTTGGTAGGGATATTGACCTGTCTGTGACAGTGGAAACTAATGTTAATGTCTAAACAAATAGACATTCAATGCATTTCATGCTCTCTTGAGGAGTGCATTTGTGCTGTTTCTGGTAGTTTAGCAGATTGTAGCGAGATGTGCAGGCTTGGTTTGTTTGGCTATAATTTGACTATCCTTTTCCTTTTGTAATTGGAATTGCTTCGGGAAGTCTAGAAGCTTTAATCTCCACTTAGGATTGCACTGATATAGATGCTTGAATTAAAGCAACAAACATTAGAAGAGCTAATTATACAGTGAATTGTAATTTTCAGGATGAAATATGTTGCAGAAAACAAATAGGATAAATGCATACCCTCAAGCTTAATGCTTCTCTTTACAATGTGACCTTGGCATAAATGTTGTCTTTAACACTCAAGGGCTATTCTTCTTTGCAGTTTTGCTAAAGCCTCGGATGCTGCTCGAATGGATTGGTCCTCCTTTACCAAAGGGTACTTTTTGAATAGAGAGACTTTGGTGTCTGTGCTACTTCTGATTGATGCAAGTGTTCCCCCTCAGAAGAGTGATCTAGACTGTGCTAATTGGCTTGGACGCAATAATGTATGTTGATTTCAATATTTGAATCTACATTATATTCTGGATTTCTGCGCGTTTCTGGCACAAATCTCTTGATTTTGGTGGTTTATCATGTCTTGCGCTATCTATGTTTCAGATTCCAATGACTTTTGTATTCACAAAGTGCGACAAAATGAAAACCAGTAAAGGAAAAAGGCCTGATGAGAACATTAGGGATTTTCAAGAATTGATTAGGGAGACCTACCAGCAGCATCCTCCATGGATCATGACTAGCAGCGTCACTGGCCTAGGCAGAGATGAGCTTCTCCTACATATGTCCCAACTAAGAAACTACTGGGACCAATAGGAGTGAAATTGAAAGAATTCCATTTGTAACTTCATCTCAAAAAATGTAAGTGAAATTAAGCTACATATGGCATTTCCATTAATTTTTCGCGTCGGTTGTTGTTTTGTTTTTTGTTTTTTGTTTTTTGTTTTTTTTTTTTCAAAAGAAGTGCTAATCTACTACAATGTACCACTGTATTCTAGTATATATTGTGAAGGAAGCCTGGCAAAGCTCTCAAATTATTCTTTTTTTGTTTAGGTTTAAGAACTAACATTTTCATGGGACTTCTATGATTTCACCTGTGGGATTATCTATTCATTAAATCAATAGAATTTTTCTTCCCAAAATAGCATTCTACCACACACCGCTTCATATTTTCCTAACATTGTCTGAGTTGATCACTTGATACTTCTTCAAACTTCTCCAGGTCTGAGATTGTCAGACTTCCAATCAAATTCATTTGATTCAATGGTCCGAGACTGTTAAAACCGAAATGGAAGGGGAAGAGGGATGTATGCCACAAGAAACTTAACAAATTTTTTGGAAAGTAGTTAAAATTCCAATTTTGAAATATTAATTGGTATGAACTATGAAGTGGTTGTTCTGACAGAGTATATAAATCACCGAGCAAATTTAAAAATCAGTACATTGATCTTTAACTTGCAACAACAAAAGAAAGTAGCTTGTGTAGCTTCAGAAGAAACAAATTAAATTGGGCGAGAGAAGTGATATGGTGATAGCTGCTTCAAAACAGGGCTAAGGAACAGTGATCTACTCTACGCTGGAAAGTGTTCTAGGACTTTAAAACAGGGAAGGAAAAACCAATCATCAGAACTTGGCGACAAGTTCAGCCCCATCGTTCTATCTTACAACTTATGGGATTCCATTTCTGAAGGGAAAGAAAAGAACTGTCAGGGCGTTGCTGCAACGTCTCTCCCAAACAATGGTGACGAGGCATCCTTAGGAGGAGGCGCCATGCTATGCAGACGCTGAGGCTGAGGCCTGAACTCCGGTGCACCAGTCAGCTTCTGAACCAAGTTCCGGAAGTTTACAGCATCTACCTTGTACACTCTGGGTCGTGTAGGAGACATCGGTGCTATTGGTTTCTTCCATGGCTTCATTGGCAGCCTACGCACTGAATGAAGTGACGAATGGAAATGCTGCGCCACTTTTTCCTGTCCCGTAGAAGATGAAGGGGATGAATAAGCGTCCATGGCACTGATAATATATATTCCTGCACAAGCAAATTGTAAACTGAAACTTGAAGAGCCAAAGGCCATACGTTATAGTGTATATATACTGGGAAAATTATATTGGCTGAGAAGGGCAAGCAGGAAGGCGTTGAGAACATGAACAAAAAATCAAACACCTACTTAGTCGTGAGCACCGGTCAGCGGGCGTGTTAGCAATTACGTGATCATCTCGGTCTAGTGCTTGAATTTTGACTTTCATTGATTATTAAACTAAAAAGTAGATCCATTATATTTTTTCCATGTGAATTTTTAAGGGTCTCTTTAGTGAGGGCGACAGCCAGCCAGGGTGGGAGCAAAGAACAAAAAGAGACCCGGAACGGAAGTAGTACACCTCGTGGAGGTTGGATTAGCCGCCTCGCGTCAAACTTACTCCATTTCTCAAGTCACGAGATTCGTATTGTTGTAACTTTTTCTTGTATTTTTATCATCATTTTTGACCATTGGAGAATGGCTGGGTCTCATTTTCCCTAGCTTTCTTCTAATTCGCTTTATGGTCCGAACTTAAAAAGTTAAAATATTAAATTTAAAGGTCAGCCCTTGTATTAAATACTATGACAGTTGTCTACAGATAATTTTTTTATATTGAAAATAAAAAATAAAAAAAATA